CTTTAGACTTGAAATTAAAGGTGTCAATACAGCCAAATCAAATTTAATTCAACTCTAACTAACTAAACATAGTCTAGAGCATAATAATCCAAACAATTTAATTCATAATTAGTTAAATTTATGCCAATTATCATCATCAGCGGGAATATCGACTCAGCTAGCTGAAACTTGAGAATAGAACAAGTCAGCTTACGGGGTTTTGTATACCCTTACCCAATTTTTATAGTAAAGATTTTCACAAGATCTTGAAAATAATCTTATATTAAACCAAGGTTTTGCTGTTTAGTTTTCAGTTAACATTGGCTCACTCCCAAATTTTCATAAATTTTATCACCGATAGATGCAACATCTGTACAGACAACAGATGGAAGCACATTTTAGTTGATTGCAGTAACCTGAGTCAGGTTACCTGACAGATACAGAAAGATCCCAGATAATGAGACTACTGTGGAATAGCTAATTAAATGATTTTCAATCTTCCTTAAGGGATCTAATCCAATAGTAATTCAAGATGATTTTGGGAGTTTTTTTAATTGATATTTTACGAAAGAAAACTGAATTAAGTAAATTGATAATTAAAGAAATCAAAATGAAATTCAAATTGAATTAACTTAGGGATCGTTGATAAATTTATCTCATTATCTGGGATCTTTCTGTAATGGGACAGACTGAAAATAGCTTATTTTCACTACTTTTCTTTATTTTCAGAGCTAAAGCTTTAGGAATAAGATTGAACAATGAATGTTTGAAGTAATAAATTATCAAAAATAATTTATATAATCGAAAGTAACTTGTTTAGTTAAATCTTCAAAGGAACAACAATTTATTACTTTTGCTGACTAGTAGGAAGATCTTTGCACTCAATATCATTAACAGATAAACCATTAATATCAAGCTCGTAACCAAAATGTTTTCACCAATTAATAATTTTATCTATTGATACCTCAGACCAGGAACTGTTTACCCATACAAGAGCCGCACGGAGTATGGACAATGTTAGATTTCATCATGCTCAGAATGTCCAATCTATAATTGATAATGCTGATCATAATTTGCTTTTTCATCAAGCTTATTCACCTTTGTTGAACCCTACCGCAGGAATGTTTAATCGCTTAAAACACTATGTTAAATTGTTTGTATTAACCGTAATTAACCGATGAGGTATTTACTAGTGTTAAATTAGCATCACAAGTTATCTCCGAAGATAATTGTAAAAGTTATTACACTCACATGCTCTCATATTTACCAAAATATTTGAATGAAGAAATTATCTTGAACTAATTTGACCATGAATAAAAATTTCACCCAAATTTACGAACTTCTCAAAGTAAATGAACCATTTCTCCCAAGGTAAGACAAAGATTCGCAAAGAGCTAATCTGTTAGTCCCCATTTCATTGTTATTAAGAAAATTTTTCTTCTTTTAAGAGTACATTCGTTTTCTGCTTAAAATCACTGTACTCAGGAAAAAGTGGTGGAAAAAGCCAGTCCCTATTGATCCCGTTAGCCCCAGACGACCTGTTAGGCCACTCAGCTGGAGTTGAACAGTCGGAGTTAGCTCCTCAATCAATATCGACAATTCATTGGCAGCTATCTGTTTATTCGACCTTCTCAAAGACCAATACATCGAATTGAGCTGCGCCCTTTGCGCTTTCAGCATTGTTTTTATCTAGAAGCATTTGTATGCTTTTCTACGAGTATTTGTTTTCTATATACATCCAAATTCCGAAATCGAAAAGTAGACAGCTAATTTCATTGTATTGGTCTTTGAGAAGGTCAAATTTACTACAAAGCTACTCATGAATTGTTGATATCGATGATCAGTTCGCAAACTTTCCGTCTTAGTTATTCTTCAAATCTTTAATTTTGTTTACAATGGATCCACATTGATCACAGTACAGTCACCATTGAGATAATGCACTCTTTTTTCAATGGTCCCTATCAATGAAGATTTATATCGTCTTTTGAATTTCGTCAAATTTCGATTCGATTTCTTTTATTATCAATTGACATTCAGTAAACTCTCACTTTTTTGACAAAAAAACAGCTCCATCTAGTTGAAATTAGTAGGCAACTGAGCGATCATAATTTTTTGTTTTTCGATTTTTGATCTTTTTATTGATGATAATTATTTATTTTTGAGTTTTTACTCAAAGTATAATGAACTAATCATGATTAGCCCTAATTAAGAAGTAAGTCGATAAATTCTGTGATAATTTCATCGAAATCTGCACTATTAAATCTTGAGATGGCGCTGATTTGCTTCTCAAAATAAGTGAGAGTTTACTGTAATTTAATTTTCTTTCGTGAAATATTCATCAAAAAACTCACGAAATCAACTTAAAGCAACATTTCAGGTTAAATTTGATCTATTAAGGAAGATTTAAAATTATGAATTACGCTGCCCAAAGAAGAGTGAAAATTTGCTATTCTTAGTGCGGTGCTTTATATCGATGGTGACTGTATACACACGATCAGACGTCAGTAGATCAGATCTGTCAGGTCAGATCAGTAGATCTAAAGATTAGATCTAAAGAGTAGTAAAGATTATATTTATATTATAATAGATATTTCAAGATTTGTTGTTTTTCATCAGGATAAAGTGGAATTGGTTGTATCTCCTTGAGTTTACCCGATGACAATATTGAACCCAAAATGGTTAACTCGAGTTTCTCATTTTCATGATCACTATTTTAATCATCCCGGAAACTGTCAATATCATCTTTTACCTGAAACTGGGTCTTACTGATCAACTTTAACTCGCGCTTCTTCAACATCATCTTTAAACCAAGATTCAGTCTTTTTTTATTGTCATTTGATTGTGAGGTAATATTATGTTTTATTGTAATATTTATTACCTTTTATTACCTGCTTTTTAATCAGCTTTCAATCCATTATTTTACATTGAAATCAATTTTCTGTGCAAATTACTTCAACCCTGAAAAAATTGAGTTTACTTACTTATCTTGGCTTGATTTATCGTATCCAAAGGTAATTACATTGTAAATCATTATCAATTTGTTACATATCAATTGGGAAACAATTCAGAGTCTTGAGTGTTTCTGGTTGAAACAAAGAAACAATTTCCAGATTTCACTGTTTCAGTTTAATGTTTATCAGATCAGACATTTCATGTTTTTTATTCAAAATCATTTTATTCTTGAAAATGGATTTTTCACTGAATTTATCAATTAATTTTTGATTTTCTCTTTGATTATAGCAAAAAGGATGTTTTTACATTAACAATGATAAAGTGTATCAATGAAAATAATAATGTTTATTGTACTTTTTTAACGCTAAATGAGGATAAATGAACTCAAAATTTATCCTAACTCTGCTTCACACATCCAGATAAAATACAGCTAATCATCAATATTTCATTTTAAATCCATTTAACTCTCCATTTTAAATACGGGTCAGCAGTACAGGAGGTCAGATTTCCGGATAATTGAAAAGGAAAACTTCCGGATAGTTGGGATAGAAAGTGAGCGAGAGAAGAGAGAGAAGATTGGAAAAAGATTGAGTAAGAGAGGAGAAGGAGAAGGAGGAGAGAGAAAGTGAGATTTGTACATCTCCTGAGGGGAGTTCACACTTAAGTGGATCTCTCTTAATGTAATCAATTAAGCCGTTTCTCGATTGCATGTTTTAATTTTTCAATTTGATCATTTGAAATTTTAACGGCTCCATTTGAAAGGTTAGGTGAGGAAGAGGACAATGATCTACCATCTTTCTTGTTGTATGTTTTCTTGTAGAAATCGCTGAATAAAAACCAGAAAAGTATACCATGGCAGCCAATCCAGACCATAAAGGCTTTAGGGAAATTGCACTCACGGAACATTAATTGAAACGAGTGTGTGAAAATTAATAAAAATTGGACCATTTGCATGGCTGTCAAATATTTTTTCCATGAAAGATATTTGTTCATATGAGGTCCAATGGCTGAAAGTCCATAATATGTATACATAATGATGTGAATAAAACTATTAAGGAAAGAAAAGAAAGTTGCATGTCCACCTGGGACAAATTTAACTCCCCACCAGACACTGAAGGGCATGATTCCATGATGGATTACGTGAAGTGTCGTTATATGGTCATACTTTTTACGTAACACAAAGAACAGGGTATCAAAGAATTCAACAAATTTAACAATAAAATAAAAATATGATGTTTTTGCCATCAATAGGGCATCCGGTGAAGTTGAATAATCAACTGGTTGACACTTATAACTGTAGTTTGTTAACCATCCGGAGATTCCGTAAAAGTAAACTAAAAGGGCACTGATTATAACCATAACAAAGTTATAAGCAATCATAAGGCTGCGAAGTTGAAAGGGTGGACGGTTTTTCATTAATTTGGGTCCCAAGTGTTTCACAAAATAAACATAGGCTAGGCAAATGGTAATAGTGGACAGAGGAGAGGACATAAGAGGCCAATCGGCAAGCCGTTTGTCACTTTTCTCCATAATGGAGTTATATAAAAAAAATAAACCCATTTTTAACTCAACTGAAGAGTCCTTATTTACACTTTACTTTGTACACGTTCAAACTGTAACTGAGCGACTAAATGCAAGTTACCAGTTATATTATAAACTCAAACCGTACCGCCTATTTTCAACAATAGATGTCGCTTTTCCCGATTCATTGGATAATCATTTGTAATGTAATTCAGCAAATGGTTGAAGAGATCAATGGAAACAAATTAAACTAACATTACAATTATTAACCAAATGCAACATTTACCTTGATTGACTTTTGATGGCCCAAAGGCTTCTAGAGAAGGACAAAAGTAAAAGTAAATTCTTGGACAGCATCTATAATGGACAAGGAAGACTGGAAAGAAGGAGAGAAACCAAAATGATTACTTTTGTTTACTATCAACAGACAATATCAAGTTAACTTACATATTTGATAATAATGACCATGGACAGTTAAATAATATTTGATTGTATTTTGATTATCAAGGAAAGGTTAAATGATGATCAATATTTTAAATTGTTGAGGTGATAATAGCAATTAGTCGTTTTACTTTGATCAGCCAAGGTCAATCTGTTAACCTTTAAAAGTCAATTGTAATACATTAATGTGGTTACCTTTTTTTGCTAACCAGGAAAACATATCGATTTAAATTAAGCAATAAAAAGATGGATTTAATTAACCCAACTGAAACATTGAACTTGTCAGGGAAACTGAAATTGTAAATCAATACTAGAGTAGTGAGTAATTAATAAACTATTGGACTGATTGATTTAATGCTCATCCATTTTAATCTAAATGTGCGCCATTGTTGATGAAATTTACGTTTATTTTGCATTTCAATAGATTATTCACAATTATTCATTTCTTCAATTTATATATTTAATTTCGTGACATTAAATACAGACTAAATTTCATGATGAATCGTGCAAAGAATTGAGAAAATTACAGAAAATTATATTTTATTCATTTTAACTCGTCAAATTTAGCGCTTCTTTTTCTGGTTCAATTTTTTATTTATTGTTGTTCCTTTTTCTTTTCTTTTCAATTGTCAGGTTTTTTAATCTTAAATCTGAACGTAATATTATTTACTTTTTGTTTTATCGTATTCATGAGTTTATTTGATAATGTAACACTTGATTTTGACGGTAAGTTGTCTTTAAATGGACTCAATGTTGAACAACAACAAAACCAGGAAGATAATTTGTGAAGATGATTAAAGATTGATCCAATTGTGTCAAGGTAGACTAATGCCAATGCTATATTTGGATTACTATTAATACCAATTTTACTTAATTTCTTCCTGGCTAACAGCAATCATTTCTTGATTAGTTAACAAATTTTAATTGCTTAAGGCTTTCCCTTAACCATTTTCAGTGAAAGTGATAATCACAATTACCAATTCAACATTGACCAAAACATTTATATCAACCTTGTAAACTGGTTCACTAGTTAACCTTGCGATCGGCAATACACACAGAAAATTTGGTGAATAGATTTACATTTATAGATTTGGTTAAATTTTTTCTAGTTATTGGCGATGATGACGATGATAATTATGAAGATAATTCATCTATTTACTCTTTTTTTGCCAACAGCTTCATCAATCTTGTGCGACGCTGGAATATCTTGTGGTTTTTTGTGATGGCGTAGCAAAAGTGTTTGTTTCCCAGCGTTACTTTGAATGTTTGATTAGAAATTGGTAAATTTATTGAGCAATTAGAGTTGACTTGTCTAAGATAATAAATTCAATCATTTTCTGATGTTCATCTGTTAAACAATCAATCCGAGGTAATCATTGTTAACTTATAATGCTGGTTCCCTAGTGCACTTGTCAAATTAACGTCAAGTATCTCATAAATAGCTATTGTTTTCACTGGTCAAACATCTTCACCACTCATCATGGGACTTCATCATGGACTGTAGTTTTTCAATTTATCTCTTGGTTTTCATCGCCCAATTGAAAAATATTCAAATTTCTTAGCCTTTTTTGACAAAATTTTCCTCGTATTGGATCATGTTGGCAATGTTATTTTCTTGAATTACAATTCTGAATGTTTTCCTTTTTTAATTCAAAGACTTGTATTATCCGATAATCAACATTCATTAAGCAATGAAGATAATGATTTTTAAATGTTAGTTGTTTACGTAAATGTCCAACAGCGATATATAGATTGATGATCAGGAAAATTTACAATGTTAGTGTATTTTGAAAGCAATGAAAGCAACTAGCATTTAAATCTTGCAATAGTTAATCACTGACGGTAATTTGAAAATGCTCAGAGCTATTACTTTGACCAAAGGTAATCAATGGGGGTTTTAACAAGATTTATATTTTTCTCTTCACTTTTAATTCAATATCTTTTTGTATATATACATTTAGATTTGTATATATGTATATAAATACACATATATGAAACTTGATGCCGATGATGAGCGTAAAATGATGGTGACTATGATGATGATGTTGATGATTAGTATCATAAAATGTGTGATCGATGATAGAAAGAGGTTGTAGGTAAGAGAGAGAGAGAAGAAGAAAGAAAGATAGATGAAAAGGTAAAAGAGTAAAATTGAAGGAGTGAATAAAGTGTAGTTTGATTTGAAAAGAGTGAGACAAAGTAGAAAATAAAAACAAGGCTGTTTTGTGAATGGTTGACAAGGCCGTTGCAATTTGAGTTGAGTGGTTACAATCAAGTGTGAGAGTGTATCGAGTAGTGGTTTTACTGGTGGTGAAAGTGAGGCTTGTTAGATTAATAGTTGGCATGGTGAACAGTTTTGTGCTTATATTTATATATATATATATGTATATAATTATATTATCGAGGTACGGTAATATGAGGAAGAGAAGGTAGAATCGTTTGTTTGTCTGCTGGTTTATGTAGTGAGTTGTATAAGCCAAAAATTTAGAGGCCTGCAGATTTGGTATCCTCTTTGGTTTCCTTTGTTTTGTCCTTTTTCGTTTTGGTTAATTCATCATGAACAAATTCATCCAATCCATTGAAGAGTACTTTCTTTTTCCCTTCCATGCCAATATTAACGATTGTGTTTTCATCCTTTCAAGGACTTTGACCAAATCTTGCGAGTTTAGGTTGATGTAGAAGCTTCAAGTTGGTAAACCATTTCATTATCTTTTGTAATATCTCTTCTCTTGAAATGGCCAGTTCCTTTCTTTTTATCGAATTAGCGTGATTTTTTTTTTCGCCATCCATTTGTTTGAGAGTATATTTTGTGTGTGCATGTTCAGGTATCATTGTGTCATGGTCCATCGTTATCCAAAGCATAATCATAACCGTCATTGATTCATCATCACCATCATCATCATTGGTGAGCTTACGTGAGCAAGTGAGTTTAAATTGAAAGGAAAAATTAGAATCAACAATTTAAGCTTATAAGAACCATGATCAAATTGAATTTTAACAAATAAAGGTAAATTAGATAAACAATAATTTTAGTAATTATAGTGGGGATGACTATATATATTTTTGATCTTTCAAAAATTAACAATCCGTATTCTTAATGTTGTTGACTATCCTAAAGGGTGTATTGTTTAAGAGTGCAATTATGAGAGCAAAAGAGGGACATTTACTTATCTGATTGTGATTGTTATGACGATAAATATGTTGATAAGATGAAGATAAAGGTGAAAATGGACAATGATGAAAAATGCAAAATATTTATCAACATCTTTATCACCATAATCACCACAATCAGTTAGATAAATGTTACTCTTTTGGCTGCCATAATTGCACTCGCAAACAATACACCCTTTAGTAATTGATTATTTTGCTGGTGAAATTGTTATTACTGATGTTGATTTAGTTGATTGTGTTTACTTGGTAGTAACTTGGTTACCAATAAATGACTCGATTTATAATGGGGTTTATCACTTTTCAAAATTGACTTGTTACAATGCGCTCATATTGTTTCATTGATTGGAATTTGCGTCAGCTTAACAGCATTATTTGTTAAATTTTTTAACTACAAAAATAGTTGTATCTCACAAAGCTTTGTGTTCAAATGTTATACAGGGTGGGGAGAAAGTTTCTAGGCAGTGACGTAACAATAATGGATTAAAATGTTTTAGAAGGTGGAGCTTAAATGCCTAGAAACTTTCTCCCCACCCTGTAGTTGAGTAATTTCCAATATGAATCCAAGGGTCTGATGATTTGTATGCAGTAAGTATTAAGAAAAGTTCCAAGTTCAAGTGAAGCTGATGTAATGCTGATTGTGTAATTGATAAACTTTAACTTTTAAAACTACATCAGAAAAGATTGTAAGTTGTTCGTTGGTGGTTACGATGATGTCGTTTGTGGCTTTTAGTGATTGCAATTTGAAAACAAAATTCAAACTGATTGGTATTTAAAAGGGTAAAAACAAAAATGTCCAGAAAACATTGCTTGAGGAAGCTACAGAAGATTGGTTTTTTTCCTGGTTAATTTTTGAAAATAATTGAAAATAAACCAGGGGAAAGCTTGAAAAGATTTTCTTAGCAGGAAGAAACAAACCAATTAGCAGCAGTCAACAGAACTGGTTAAAATGAGCAGACCAAACGTTGAGACCCAAAAGATTTGATGATAAAGATGAATGTTTTTGTTTTTGGGTAAAAAGGGAAAACCAATAAGATGCATGAGATGAAAAAAGATTGGTGATGATGTTAACCTAGGATGGATGACGTTATTGATGTACACTTGGGTAATTAAAGAAATCACACAAATATTGTTAACAGTTCTACGATTGATAGAAGAAAAATCTGCGGTGAATAATCTTAACGGTAACATTTTTTTGAAAAATTGTTAGACAGCAGCCATTCTGGTGAATCCATAATTTTGGAGCAAACAATTGTTAAATGTTAAACTAATTGGCGTCCATCAACTCTAGATGAGACCATTGGTCGACCAAAAATGAGACCAAAAAACAATATAAAAGTGTCGATTTAGAAGAAATTAAAATGTTTGATTTACAATTAAAAAAAACAACAGAAAAATTTGAATTTGTTGATCATAAGCTTTTGCTTCAACCATGCTGGGAAGGGGTTACTTCATTTTTTCCCACTTCTCCCTCGATGAGTGATAAGGTTGAAGATATGAATTTGCAGACAACGTTCATACAAAATGGTTTTATAAGATTTCGAAATGTTTCTTCTTTATAATTGTTTTTGTTAATTTGTGTGAGTGTGTGAATGTGTTAGCACTATTATCCTCGTTTAATCAACCATCATTAAAATCAGTGTCGTTTCTAATTAAAATACGATTCCAGTTTGCCTACAAGTTACAAATTGAACAGTTTTTTACTTTTTGTTACTCTTCCCTTCTGACAAACCAAACGATCATCTGATCAAACCAGTTATATAATATTAATATAAGTGTAAACTGGCGCTAATTGAGAAAGTGTTACTTGATCTTTTTTTGTACAGTTATCATCAGTATGATTACATGGATTACATCAAGGAGATGCCCCAATGGTTAAAGTCTACCTTGAATACAGGTAGACATGGTTATTTTTTTACAATAAATCAAATAGGTAAATATTGATCCCGTTTAATAAAATTGTGCACATAGCTGGCCTCTGATGAGAATCATTCTTTTTCATGTTGTAACAGGCCATTAACTAAATGCCGTTATTTTGGTTGCCATTGAACAAAGGTCGATCGTGAGCCTGTTCATTACTCGTCCATATTTACTGGAAAAACGTACTCATCACTATTGACTGATGATTCAAAGTTTAATAGCTTGGTCCTCTCATCCAATCTTGGCCCTTTATACCCTTCATGACTCCGATAGGTCCCTTCTTTTGGTCACTGGACAAATTTTGGTGTAATATTGCCCTTTCATTGATTTCAAAATATTTATAATGAAAGATCATTGTCAGGATGGCCGAGAATGTTTACTTGTTTACCATCTCCGTGATTTCCTCTTATTTGTGTTTTGAATTTGGAGCCGGTAGAATTTTGAAACTTTTGGCATTGGAAAATTGCAATAAACATGACAAACTTGATGAAACGAGATAAGTCAGGATTTAAAGCTGAATCAAATATTTGGGTTACTGTTATTATCGTTGATGAAGGTGATCATGACTAACACTAAAGGCAGGACTTTTCGTTTCCTATTAAAGAGGATTGGAGAGAAAAATTCCATTCAAATGTAGCTTTAAGCTATGCATGTATTATCAATACCATAATCATCATTATATTTTCTTGAAATCTTTTTTCATATCATATTATCGAATTATTTTGTTTTCCTGATTATCGTCTTATCATGTCTCATCGGCATACTCAGTCAATAGCGCAACACAGCAAGATCACATGAGCCGTTAATACAAGAATCTTGCATTAATAATTGTCCATTATTCTTTTACATTAATCGTTATTTTCCTACAAACAAAAAGCGATTTGGCATTTCCTCACACATCAGTTGACCGACTTGTGATACTTGGTGACCTTGAGTGAATTACAACCTTATGACCCTTGCTATTAACAGTCTGTCCCGCACCATCATCATCACCTACAATAGATGATGCTCGATTCCTCTCCATTGATTCATCTGTGAAAACGTCGTCTCCATCAGCTGCGTTCTTTCGAGCCTTATATTTTAGCCATGCTGTTTGAATTATTCTTGCACAATATTCTTCTCGTTGTCTCCAAAATGTTGATGAAATATGTTCAAAGCGACCCCTCAAAGGTAAAACTTCCTCCAATTCTGGTGTTTCTTCAATTGGTTTTCCTTTGCGTGCGAAAAACTCTCTTGTCAGGATATCCAAAATTTCTACACAATAACACATGTCGTTTCTGCATATTGGTATATCCATTTGGATAATTTTAAATTTATTGGGCCTCGGAACTCGCAAAGGTTCTTCCAGTGCATCCAAAAACTCTCCTAAATCATTGAATGATATAAACTGTGTTCCATCAGGATCGAAACGCTGCCAAATCTCATAGTACATATCATAATCATCATCTGTTAAACCTTCTTGGACATCTTCAGTTGCTTGAGAATAATTTTCTAAGATTACAGCAATGTACATGTTTACAATAACAAGAAAAGAAATGATCAAATAGGTGACCAGATATGCGATCGCAATTTTTTTGGACCCACAATCTGACACTTCGCTATCCTTCTCACACTTTGATTCATCCATGATGGCAGCCAATACACCATCCCAGCCCGCTGAGGTACACATTTGAAAGAGAAGGATAAAAGATCGGAAAAAGGTACCAAAGTTGAAAGTTTCATCGAGACCATAACGTTGCTTGACGTTCATAAAGAACGACATTCCAAAGATTGCGTATATAAACATAACCAAAAAAAGTAGTAAACAAATGTTAAATAAGGCAGGAAGAGACATTGCCAAGGCAAAAAGAAGGGTTCGTATTCCTCGAGCACCTTTAACCAATCGCAAGACTCGACCAATTTTAACAACTCGAACAACTCGAAGTAACGTTGGTGATATCAAATAATTTTCAACAAAATCTTTCAATGCCGAACCTGTGGAAGAGCAAACAAAAGTATATTATCAGAAAGTTGATCAAGCCAATAGATACATTCATTTCAAGAACAAGCATCAAATCAAATCAGTAGCTAATCAAGCTTTTGGACTGTAATTTTTGTCTCATTGAATTGATTGAAGTAAGAAATTTGTTACTCAATGTTTAATCTTTTCTCGCTGACGAGCAAATTTCATCAATTGTCTCCACTCATTTTGCTTTGATTTACTTTGTTCCTCATTGATTTACCATTTACTTTTTTCTCTCTATTTATTATGTTTCTTCTCTTTTTCTTTTCATGTATTCATTTGGTGGCTTCACTTACTTGCAATGGATAAGATGACAATTACAAAGTCAAAGACATTCCAAGGTTCCCGGAAATAGTGGAAACGAAGAGCAAAAATTTTGAGCATGCATTCAGCAGTGAAAACTGCAATGAAAAATAGGTTACACATCTCAAGGATGTGCTCCATGAAAGCAGAGGCCTGGTAATGGTCAAGGGACATCACAAACATGTTCAGCATTATGAATAACATTATCAACATATCAAACTTTTTGTTTGTTACAATGTCAAAAATTATTGCTTGAAGTTTAAACTGGATAATGAAGACAAGAATGAGACAAGAAATAAATTATTAGCCATAATTTACGTTTAACCCAAAAATTAATTGGCGATCAAATTGGTTTCTTCATCAAGCTGTGTAAACGCCAATTGATCAACCAAGAAATGTAAAAGAAAAGTTATTCTCTCAACTTGAATTGAACACAATAACAATGAATTGTTGTAAATTCAGACTAAATCTTTTATTTTCATTTGATAATGACAAGCAGCTATCAACTGATTGATTATAGTGTGTTTAATTCAATTCAAGTTGATAGATGACTTTTTATGTTGGATGATTCAATGATAAGTTACCCTTGGCCTGGGGATGGCTTTCATTGGTTTCTTTGATCCCATCTTTTTCATAGCATTGAGATACTTTTTTTGATCTTCCGTCATCAACATCTCCCTGGAACCACCTCCTTTCTTTTTTTGTTCATTAAAATTATCAATAATGACTCCAATAAACAGGTTAAGTGTGAAAAAAGAGCCAAAAATGATGAAAAATACGAAATATAAGTACATCAGAATACTATTTTCATAAACTGGTTGTTGATGGACTTCACGTGAATCAATTGCATGGTCCATAATAATTGTCCAACCTTTGAATGTTGCCTTGAAGTTGGTCATAAAAAAGGATTGAAAAGCCATTAAAATTTCAACCTATTACCAGAAAAACCCACAAATTCACAGATAACTATAAAAACATTAATTACACTTATCAACGATTGAGCAAGATCTTAAAAAAAGAGACTTCATGAGCCATATTATACCAAATATATTCATTTTAATGTATTGATATTTTAATTCAGTATGTGTTATAATATTAGATTCAAATGTCTAGGAAAATGATCAAACCTTTAACATAGACTAGTCTGCAACAACGTGTAGGCCTTAACACCCAAAAATAATAATAATAGTTTCAATCATTTCAATAATATCGATGAAATGTTACTAGACAAATCAGGGCAAAATAGGCAATCCCAATGAGAAATCAAAATTAATCAAATAATCCGTGAAGCATATCAAAAATGGTCAGAAAAATTAATTTATATTTTCATTGTAACTTCAAATTAAAGTTAACTTTCAACAAATCATTAGAAACAAAAAACTGTGAAACATTGATTTGTATGTGCAAAACATAGCATAAAATGTCCACTGAAAAAGGGTGACCATTAAAAATGAAACTCAATTTATTCATCTCTTCTTCATGCATCATCATCACCTTTCCTCTTCCATCTTCAGTCAAAACAAAACTCAGACAGGGAATGATTACAATTGAGAGATTATGATGATTATTACAAAAGAGAGTCACAACTGAATCCATAAAATGATTATCATTTCTCAATGGTTGTAACCCGTTAACTTTGAATATATAAATACAACTTTTCCCTTTCGATTTCTTTTTTTCTTCACCACTAGAAACTCATTTATTAATTGTATCATGAAAATTGTATTACAATTGCTTTGCTCGACTAAATTCAGGGGGGAAAAGAGGTGAAATTATCTGCGTAACTAATAACCAAAAGTACCATTGGAATAGAGCAGCAAAAAGTAAGCAAGAGAAGTAAAAAAATGGAGAACTGAAATACATAGAGAAAACTGGTTTTTACCAGAAAAAAAGCCAAAATACAATAATAATAATAATAGTTACCAGAAAAAATTCACTTTTGTCTTGAAAGCAACAACAAACAGTCCAACCAGCCAGTTATTATTATCATCATCTCACCCACCTTGTCATCCTCTCTCTCCTCGTTTCACTCCCACTTTGCAGATTACTCAGGCAAATCGATCGGTAATATGAAAATAAAAATAAGTTGAAAATGCCTAGCGACTATTAATCTATTATTATTTTTATTTTCCTCTTTTTTTGTTTTCTATTCTTACCCAACCTCTGTCGGTCTATTTTTTCTCATCTGCCTCTGTCTATTGAACATTGTACAAATATCGATCGAAACGATCTCTTTCAATTCAGTAAATTTGGTCTTTTAGTCTGATTGAACAACAAATAACAACAGCAACATCAACCTTACATATCAACAGTAACAACAGTAAACTGTAACTGTTAATAACAATTAAAAATGTTAATTTCCAGTGATTTAGTTTAACCGGTAAATTAATTGTAAATTTGTAAATCAAATAAATAAATAAACATTGAATTGACAGAGAGAGAAAACCAGAAAATAAGATTAACTTTGCTGCCTTTTTTTCGGCTAAATTTGATTGAAACAACATTTGTCAAGTTTGGGTTAAAACTGATGTGATTGACGTTACTATTAGTTCAACTCTTTTAATGAGTTTATTTCCAGGCTAATAGTTGATTGTTTACCAAGCCATGATCATCATCATCATCATGTAAAGACATGAGAAGAAGAAAGTAAAGAAATTAGATTTACAGGGTAATTCCAGTTTCATCATTTCCAATCGACTTGCAGCAACTCCAACCAGAAATTTTGTTTCCCTTTCAAACCCACTTTTACCATTGCAATATTTTTAGCTTTAATTTGCTCATTGACTTAACCTAAATTATGAACTCATTAATAACATCAATGAAGTGACAATTAAGTTGAATTTAAATAACTCAATGGTTAGTGAAGAGCAAAAAACTGGTGAAAATTTGGGTTTACATAAGGAATGGAAATGATTGAAATTTGATATTTTCTGGTTGAATTTGCCTGACCATTTGAATAGAAAAATTTGAACCAATTAATAAGGTAAATTAAATTTAAAGGGTTGATTAAATGGTTAAATCTAGTTGATTGATTAAGGTGTTACTTTGAGTTGATCAATTTGCTGGTCTCTTTAGACTCTTTAGACTCTTTAGAGTGGTTGAAAATGAGATGAAACAATTATCATCTCAATTGACACGCAATCAAGTATTTCAATACATTAAATTGTAAATATATATAATATGGTTTAACCTTTTTTTCCTGTGTATATTAATTAGATGTGAATCAATTTATTAATAGTTAACTGTGGTTTGTGATTCAGTGTTGAGAGTATGCTGTGAATGTCTAGATTAATTAAATGAAACCTGATTTGGTGTGCTACTTACCACTTGAAAAAGTGAAAGGTAACCATTAAATACATTGTCAAAATTGACCATTGGCGTATACCATTCAAGGGTTTCATTGTGTTGATCACAGATAGTCTTGTTTTCAATCTCATTTGGATCACTTTTTTCCTCCGTATTACGATCACGACAATATGAAAATTTACCAGCAAACAGTTGAACTCCCATGATTGCAAAAATTAACCAGAAAATTAGGCACACAAGAAGTACATTGAAAATTGCTGGAATTGCCTGAATCAAGGCATTAACTACAACCTGAATGGAAAGGAAATTTTTCTCATGTAAATTAAAAATTTTCAAACTTTAAACATGAATCTAATGTCGACTAAAATTGCTAACTTCATGCAATAAAATCGTTGATTTTCAATACATTTTGTGCAACTTAATAAGCAATACTCAGTCTGTATCAATCGATTAATCAAAATCCCAAATCCATTGAAATGGCTTCTGTAACATTCGTTAGACTCTAAAAATTTCATTCGTTTGTTTAACATTCAACATTTGGGTTCTTCAATTTTCATTGAACAGAGCGAACGATGAAAATTTTGTGGATTTTTCTAATTTGATTTATTGATTGATATCAAGCTTTAATGGGAAATAATTATATGAAGATGAGGTGAAATTTTCTCGTGCAATTTACAAAGAAATTAAAATATAATTGGAAATTGGTTTTGACGGGCATTCACAATTAGTTTAAATAGCAAATTCTGTTCGATTGATTGTCTGAAAATTTGTGTGTTCTAACTCATCTTACCTCTTCCATCAACAACAACTTTCATCTAGCATTTAGCGATTTTTTAACTTTAACAGTTCGGTGTTGATGAAAATTAAATCTAAAAATAAGGTGAAAATCGCGACTTTTATCCTGAAAAATTGGTTGATAAAAAGTCTAAATTGTATGAATGGCTAATTAATAACCAGAAAATATAGTGACTCTTAATTAGTGACTTTGACTGTTTAAAACATTACAAATGATCAAACAAACAATCTTTACTGTTGCTGTCTATTAAATCACAATTAACACATACAAGGAAATTAGAACAGGAGAAATAATAAGGAATAGGATGTAAACCAGAATTAAATTAATGTTGATCTTATTTAATTGTGGTTTACATTTGGTAAGGTTGGCAAAGATGGATTGAGATGTGAAAAAATAAGTTTTTTAATGCATTGAAGGAAAAGTGAAACGCATTGGTGAAAATACGTTTAGTTTGGTTTAGTTATTTGTTTAAACGTTTAGGTTTAGATTTAGCTTTGATTTGATTTTGCTTTTTTAGTCAATTTTAGCTTATATTTAGAGTTAATTTAGTTTGTTATTCATACCCTCATCCCTTTAGACCGAGACATTGCTCTTAATGGGCGAAAAGCACGAAGGGTTCGCATAGTTTTAAAGGCTTGAATTTTGGCAAGACCGGCAAACTCGGCCCCAAGATTTAACGCAGAAACCTATGAAACAGCAATTTCAATTTATTTTTCATTTAGTTTTCTTTCTTTTATCACAGTAATTAATGGGAATTGACGGCAATGGTGAAGACATTTAAGCTAATAATCAAGAGTAAAATTGTTGATTAAATTTCAAAATTTGGTTAAAAGCTTTGGTTACAATTGAAATTGAACTTTTTTCAACCCAAATAACTGAGTCTCTGGTTAAGAATGAGAGTTAAAAATACTTTCTTGAATATTATTTGTAAAACAATCAATTCTTGGTTCATTTATTTTGCTGGCAAAATTGAAAAATGTTGGTTAAACTTTCAATCAATCAAAGTTTTCACTTTCAATCAACAACCTAATATTAAAGAAGCCAATGTTAATGTTGAACCAGAATCGCCCAAGTTTACTTTGTAATACATTTGATGATTTAATTTGGAAACTGTGATTTAAATGATGATTTAGAAAGATTGATTAGGCTGGCAAATTAGTTGTGATTGTTAGAATTGGTTTAGTTCATTGTAAAGTGTTAAGTCAATGTTGTTCACTTGTGATTAAAAGGTAAATCTGTTTAAAAAGGTTGCAAATGAGTGAAACATTCAATGGAACAATTAAAAGGTTAATTGTGTGTAATTGTTGTTCTAAGGCAAAAGTCTAATTAAACTAAATGTTGATCAATTGACACAACTTACTCTCATCCCTTCCAATCGGGACATTGCTCGAAGTGGCCTCAGTGCCCTTAAAGTTCGCATAGTCTTAAAGGCTGGAATATTTGAGAACCCTAATTGGCCAACAGTGAAGTTAATCAATGACACCTAATGATGGAAAGACAATTTATCAATTGTTCTTAATTTTTTCCCCTTTTCTCCAAAGTCGAAACATGAAACTCGAAAATGGACTCTAATCAAAATTGAGTTCATTCAATAATCGACCAACAATTATTACAAGTGAATCTAATTTTCTGTACAAACTAGGGAATAAAAAGTTACCAACTTATCTGCATAACTGGGTTAATCAATAAATCAATCAATAGAAGCTATTATTGAACAAGAATATCATTTTGACTGTTTAATTGAACTAAATCATGTTTTTTTATTCTCACAAGAAATCCAAGGTTCCATTGGAAAAAGGTTGACAAGGTGAAAATAGTTGTGAACGATTAAAATAATGAACAGATTTAATGATTTTAAAACTGACCAGAAAAGGTTGAAAAGTTCAACTTGAGAAAGTGAAATGTTTTAAATGTTTGAAAAGACTAAACTGTAACCAAGAAAGACTTAGATGGACCCAAAATGGGTTAAGTTGAACCAGAATTGAATTATGAATTGGATAATAGAATGGATTAATCGTTTTCTTACCATGACAATAATAAAATCTAACCAACACCAAGCATTGGAAAAGTAACTTTTAAACCCGTAGGCAAACCATTTAAGAAGCATTTCACATGTAAATATGATGGTAAAAAATTGATCAATATATTTCAATGAATATTCCAACCAGGGACGTTCTTTAAGATTAACATCTTCCAAGGCCTGAAACAAACAATTAAAAGTGTTAATGGTTAATGTAAATTGAATGTTAAATTGAATGTTCAAGTGTTTGACATCTTTCAATAATTTTCTGGTTCGGGTTAAAAATGAATTAATTTGTAATGCAAACATTATTCAATGGATTTGTTTGATGATGATAAAGTGGTTAAGATGAAGGATAAAAGTGTAATAAAAAATGATTAAATCCTAATGTCGGTTATTAATATATCGAGCCAATTAGGTTTGAGATTGTTGATTCAATTAAGAAATAGTTGGCTTCAATGAATAGGGAATGAAAAATGGTTTAGTCAGTTTATTCTTGTGATGATAATGATGATAATGATGGTGTTGATAGTTATGGTGATGATAATAATGATGATCATTGTGATGATTATGATGTTCTCTTGTGAAGAGGCAAAGAGAGAGAGGAAGAGATGAGAAGGTGATGAAGATGATGAGGATGAGTGTTTCATGATAACCCATGATAGATCCTGTTGTCAGGCAACCAAGCAAAAAGAGTTAATTTAATGGAAGTTATTTTAGAAAGATGATCAAGATGAAGATGAGAATGAAAAGATGATAAATAATAATAGCAGAGTGATAAAAATGATTACACTTGACTTGTTGGTCAATTTCATTTCACCATTTGTTTGTTTCCTTCGGCTTTTCAGTAAAACCATATTTTTTTAAAAACAATATTGTCAACCCAAAATTTTAGGTTTTTTTTCTGATTTATGCCAACAAAATCAATTCAACTGTAAACTCTAATCAACTGATATAAACTGCTAATTAATCAAGACTAAAAACGATTGAAATAGTTTCGAGAATCTAAACGACAACATCGATAAACATAAACGGCAGAAGTCAAGATTTAAAATTTTCAATCGAGTTAAAAGGCTAACATTGTAACTAGATTTTGGGTTAAATTGTTTTTGGGTTTTTTCAGATTCTAATGAAAGTTTATTTGGAAGTCTTTTACTGATTTTATGTTGTGATGAGTTATGAAAGGAAAGGTCGATTTTGGTTTCTTTCAGGTGAAGAACGGAATGAATTTGAAGTTGAATTGGTTTCATTGTGTCTTCATGATTCACCAAGAAATCTAATAAATAACATGTTCAACGACCTTTAACATTGGAAAGAAAAGTTTTCAGTTTTTTTATCGTTTCCATTCTGTTTAAACTATTATCAACAGACATGGAGAAAGATGACAAAAAAGCAACTGAATAAACTCATCTGTCAAAGCAAAGTAAAGACAAGAAAATGAATGATGCATTCCCAGCATTTTGGTTATGCTTTTTCAATTGCCTGTCACATTTTCAGATTAAACAAGAAAAGGATTAGAAGAAGAAAGGGAAAGAAAAAGATCACAAAATGAGCTTAATTTTGTAGTTTGGTTACAATTGGTTAACTGGCTTGAAATGGTTTCAATAATTGACTGAAAATATCAACAATTTAACCAAGAAAGGAAAGACACAGCAAGCAACAACGAGAAGTCAATTGAGATAATAGCAACCATTAAGGATAATTGAGTTACATCTGTAAATTAAGTGATGAGAGGCAAAAAGTAATGACAAATTTACTGCAATTTTAATGTAAATAATGTAATGAAATATGAAAAGAATTGATTTTTTGCTTCATTTCTTTAGGCTTGAAAATGTGTTGGAAGCACAAATTGTTTGATTATTGCGGTGGAATGAAAAAAAGTGGCCAAAGGGGAAAGAAAAGGTTGAAATGATTAATGCTTTCCAAATAATAATATCATCATTGATCAAAATGTTGGACTATTTTTCGAGTCAATTGCACAATTTAGCTTGACCGAGTTATCAAGGTTTGTGTTCACCGAGTTCAATATTTCAACATGGAACAACAATTTCATGTCATCATCCAAAACTGGACTTGAAACGATCGATAGAAGAAGAGAAGCAAGAAGAAAAGGTAAACTCAGTTTAAATAGCCTTTCGTATGAAGAAGATGAATCTTGATTGAGCTTTTTTTTCATGGATTGGTGTGTTTCACTCAATTTGATAATTTGCCTTTTCTCTTGATTTTTGTTTGTTTTCACTCAAAGTTACTGAACTTGGATTCAATTGGAATAACTTTGATTCTCAATAATTGTTTATATTCATCAACATTCAACAACAGTTTCGATAATGTTTATTATCGATCAATAGCATTCCCGTCATCACCTAATTTTTCTGCCTTTCCTTTCATTCCAATTTTGTGTTTCTTGTTTTCACTCTTTTCCTCGACCTTATTCATTGTAATAAGTTGCTTTTTTTTGCTTCTCCTTCGTGTAACACCAAATGTCAAAGTCAAGTTAAAAATCGATGATGATCAATGAGTGAAAAAAGAGGATGATTATGATCAGATAGAATTTGCTTTTTCTTTTTCTTCTTCTGTGGCTGGGAGTGAAAAGTTATTCTGAAAACGGAAAGAAATAATATTGGGATGAGAATTCATTGTAAATGAATATTGAACAACCAGTAATGATGAGAGAAATTTTTGGAGGAGAAAACATGATAAATATTATCTAAACAGCAAGTAAAAAAAGATGTATTATCTATTGACTGTTCAAGACAGATAAACTGATAGACAGGGAATGATGAGAGGAAAGAAATTATTCCGTTTTCTTCCTTTTCTCCTTTTCTCTTCTTCTTTTTTTGTTCTTCTTCTTTTCTTCATGATCATCCTTTTCTGCTTCTCCAGATTGAATAAGGTTAAGGAAACTTGTCTTAAAGATCAATGAATGGTTAAGATCATTAGATAAATGTTGATAGACATGCACAGTGGATACAAAAAGCAAGGCCCTAAAGGGACTGAGGAAACCATTCAGAGACTGAGTATCATGTTTGGGTTTGAGTTAACCTAATCATCCTCAACAGCCTTACATCATCAACATAATTATCGTCATCTACTCATGAGGGGTGTCTCTTCATCTCTCATCCTTTTCACTTGAAACTTGCAACATGAAAAGGAATGACAATCTTATGTTCGCTTATGGGTGGAGATGAAAGGGAAAACAAGGAAAAAATAAGATTAAAATTAAAGGAAAATCAGAAACTAAAAGTGTTCCAATGTAAGAAAGGTTATCAAAGGGATTGATACAATATTTTGAAACTTTAATTCATGTTGACTTGATCAAAGTGTATCGATGTTGGTGTGTTTAACAGGGAAAAGAAACCAATCGATTCAGTCAACATTTTGAAACATGAAATAATGTTTTTTATAAACAAAAGGATTATTGATTGAATGAAGTAAAATTTCAATGTTTGCCATTTGAAATTAACAGTATTTTGATAAAGTTCCAGTTTAGATTCTTTGAATTCGAATACGCTATTCAAGTTATTTGAAACATTTCAAATGAGGAAAGATTTGTTTTGTCTTTTCAAAAGGTTTCCAACATAAGTAATGAAAAATAACTGGTTGATGTTGAACTTTGGGTAAACCAAGCTATTGATACTGCAAAATTGCGAAAAATAATCAACTGTAAAAGTTAAAATGAAAGGTTTATTAAGATGAAATCAATTTTAATCATTTAAAACGATTTGTTCAAATATTATCGATTTATTGTAATGGACTAATGGTTATAAAATTGAAGCAAATCAAGAGTAAGCAAGACTTAAAACTACTTAAATCGATGACAAATAAAGCAAAATTTCCATCAGAGTTGGACTAATTTTGATTAAGGTGATTGCTTTACGATTTTTGAAATAACAAAATGCAAAATAAAATTTGATCTTGAATCATGACTGAAACTTTCAAGGGAACCGAATTGATAAATCAATATCGACCTTTCATTGTTCACTATCGGTACATTGGGCCTTCTTCAAGATCAATACCGGGCGTTTTTTTTATTTTACGCCTTCATGCAGGCATAACACAAGAACGTTTGATGCGACAGACCTCAGACTTAAACCATGAGATTATGCAGATTGCACAACCATAAGTTCGAAGGTTATTTAAGGTCAATTCTTTATTTGACCTCTAATTGACATTGGAAGGTCATTTTCTGAAATCGCAATCGCATTTTCTGACCCGATTATGTAAATCACATGTTCATAACTTTTAGCATTGGAAAGATAAATGATTTTTCCGAAACTTATTTTTCCCTTTCAGTACTAGAGCCCT